AAGTAATCGAAAGGCTTACTGAGGATCTACTCACCGATGATTTTTGCCAAGATCCAATGAGAAACAAAAGAACTTATAAGAGTAGATCTATAGAATGGACACATAATTCCTCATCGACGTTCATTAACCCATTCGTGACAATGGCAGCCACCGGTGGCTGACAAAGATCTCACTCGGGACAATGGTATCCACCGGTGGCTGCCGTGTTTCAAATGGAATTTGGAAAGTTTTCTTTCCTGAAAAAAGAATCTTCATACCCTCATTCATCTACGCCAGCCCTGGGCAGGGGAAATCTCCATCCACTCAAATTTTATTGAAGAAAAATCTCCTGACTCTCCTGCTATTGCGCAATCCGCGCGGTCGCGAATGGGTTAAAGGCAAAATCGGATGGAAATTATGTTCAGAAAAGAGAAGAATAGGTAGATCCAAGCATACCATCAGTGGCGCTTTCACGGCAGAAGTTGCGGCATCAGTGGCCCATATGGCGCTAAATGTACAACAAAAGCCTCTCCACTTCTCGGACACGCCCATCCCCACACTAGGATGGGATGACAACTGCAATATACATATTTTTGGGATGAAACCTTTCCCACCATCGTTCGATTTTCTTTCGAAAGAGTACTGCTACACAGTCACCGAAGCGGCAACTGATTGACGATTACCGTTAGCATGATGATGGTGTTTAGCTTCACCCTACTATTTCCACTTCAATGGTACGTCTGCCAACTACCGAAATCAATGAGCGAAAGTCCAACAACCCCAAATCAAATTGTAGGGTAACAGCGATGGATCACGAAAGTGTGGATTGACTGGAAATGAAAAAGTAGGGGAAACTGTCTACGGAGCTTCTAACAAGGACTCCTTCTCGTCCATCTTGAGATGAGGAAGGGACGTGTCCAGACGAGTTTGAATGAACATATCCGTATCAGTGTGATGCGTGTATCATATCTGTTGAATCTATCCATCGTGAACCACGTTGCAAGCGATCTCCACAGCTGGCAATGGGGCGTGTCGACAAAAAGGCGGACGGACCAAAGTTGGCCCTATCCAACGCCCTACAGCGTCTTTGTAAGGGCCCAAACTTATTTTTTTGGCTCCAGCAATTACCCTTCCCCCCAATATTTCCTTGGAACCTTTAGGACCCCCCATGGCCCCACTTTTTTTGGCTAGAGTTTAGTTAACCTTGAATGTCATGGACCCTACCTGGGTTTGTGTGCTCTAAGGCTTTGCTGTGGGCACCAGAGCTTTTTTCGCGAGGATCGCAAATAAACAGGAAGTTGCGCATGGTGTTGCACCGCGATATAGATCCTACAGCAACGATACATTGGGTATTTCCCGTCATGATTGGCACAGTATGAAAGCAGTTATAGTTAAATCGCGCATTATTTTCAGAAAGCAAATGGGTCGCGAAAAGTTTGCCATTTAACCACAAACGGAAAAGTAAATCCACAAAACTCAGTCGACTGGTGGAGAGCAATCGCGTACTGAGCGGCACAGATACCATGATCATCAGTTGATTCAAAGATGGAAAAACACAATCCACATAGAGAATCGACGTCATCAAATCGACGGATAACGTCAGCAAAGCTGATGAGCGGTTAACAATCAAGCATTCATATTTCACCATGTTCAAAATCTATCGAGTCTTGGTGTTCCATTCACAATAAATCGTTTAAAGCTGTTCTCGAGATTTTCAAAAGCGGCAAACACCACCACTAGCAAAATCCTTGGTTTATTTGAAGGTGATGCAAAAGCCACTTACGGTTGCGCCTCACCCGATTAACTAAGATCGGCTCAACTGGGGCGTAAGCTTTACACAATCCCAAACAAAAATCAATGGACCAGGGGCGGTATTCAATCCTTCCCCAAGGGGGATGCGTCCACCTCCTCTGATCAATCCTCCCCCAGCTTTGGACGGAAGACTGAATTAGGGAAGAACGCATCCCCCTTGGGGAAGGATTGAATATCGCCCCAGGTGGGATTTATGTGCACAGCCACAACAAGAGCGTTGCAATAGAAGTTCTGCAAGTATTTTGTTCACTTGAAATACCACCTCCATTTACATTTGCTTTGCCCGATAATCACAGAAAAGTTTTGCAAATAAGAGCAGTAAGTTCTCTGAAGACTGGCATTACTCGCTATTCAGTGAGGCTTCTGAGCGCTCTTACCCTAACGGAGGGGTCATTTCATTATGCTGCAGTCAAGGCATGTATAATCAAACCAAGACAAGCATTAAACGTTCAGTATAAGTAATACGAACCTAGTAAGGAGTTTATAACGATTTTGAGGTGGAAGAATTCTGGGACAAGGGCATCAATCGGTTCTTTTCAACACTGCATCGAAAGTCGAACATTACAAAAGTTCACCAATAAGTGAGAGACATAGTGTAGAGCGCAAAACAAGCCAGTGTACTTCGACTTGCGAAAGAGGGAGGAGGAGTTTCAATTTGCGAAGCCATTTCAAACAAATTGAAAAAGAAAATATTTGCACAGAGTAGTATGCTCAAAATACACCCCCCCCACCCTCCTACTCACGGAGCCCTTTATCCCCCCTAGCGTTAAGAAACATCTGTATGTAGGTGGATGAGGAATGTTACTGTGTGCTTTATGTTTCTTCCACGAGGTTTGCAGGTGGAAACTTTACTACGGCCAACTTTCGACCTTCACGCCTTTCCTTTTTAAAGGCCTCGGCTTCCAACGCTGGAGTTAAAGGCTACACTCACTAAGTACATCAGTAGTGAAATGATGAAAAACGAGATGAAATGTGCTGTTGAAGCTGCGCCAGCTCCCCCTCTTTCCAGAAATTCGCATCTTTTGGCCCACAACTGCTTTTTCACATCATTCAGTACCAGAATCCTTATTTACTTCTTACTTCTCGACCGCTATTCGTCCCGGGCACGCCAGAAACGCAGGTCGCACATCTTCCAGGCCGCTCTGCTTCGGGCTCTTCTGCGCCACACTGGCCGTACAATTTTCACGAGAGGGTCTGCCCATCGGGTGGGGTCTGCCTCTGGGCCTTGTTTTCCCCTTGGGTACCAGTCAGTCACTCTCTTCGTCCAGCGATCATCGGTGAGTCTAGCCACATGACCGGCCCACCTCCGCTTGGAATTGTAGATGGCATCCACGACGTCCTTCACCTATCGTGCAAGCGCGAGGTTTTTTTTTGAGTCTCTCGGAGCGTTGAACCGCAGATGGCCCTCTCCATGGCTCTTGGCTCGCTATGTGACTGCGAGTTTCTCCTCTTCAGAGACTGTGGTGCTCCACGTCTCCGCCCCGTACGTCATCGCGGGAAGAACATGCGAGTTGAAGACGTGAGCTTTGATTTTGGGGTCGACGTGTTTAGAAGTTAGTACATCTCGGAGTTTATTGAAAGCGGTCCAGCCCGCTCTGCGGCGTCGGCTAATCTCGAGCGTGGATCGTTATTCATGTTGACCGCTTTGCCGAGATATACGTAAGAAAGAGAGGGGGGCGGGGGGGGAGGAGACTCGCTCGATCTCCTGGCCTTCTAGGAAGATCGGCTGGTACTGAACTTGTTCGTTGTGCATCCACTGAGGCTTGCCGGGATGAATTTGTAGTCCGATTTTGCCGGCTTCCTGCCTGATGAGGCTCAGGGATTCGTACGGCTGGAATCCTCGCCTCCTTGTACACAATCATCGGTGGAGAGGAGCATGCAGTTTACCAGAATCCTCTCAACATAGAAACAGGAAGTGGTGTTGATAGGGAGATTGTGGCATCGTTTCAGAATAAGAGTGCCAGAAAATGTTGCAAAACGTACGTGCTCTGAGCCGAAAGACAATAAGAGTACAAGTGTGGCACTCACCTGGTCGAGGATTTCTTGGGTTGCAAGGCACGTCTTTTCGGCCAGCATGAGAATATGTACTGAAAATGGAGCTGCCAAAAATGCTATAGCAACCTCGTGCTAAACAGCAGTATGCCATTGGCGACCTTGTACTCCGCTTGCCGTTCATGTAGAGTAGATACGTATCGATAGTAGGAACGCTAGATCGTCCGATCGATACGTACCTACTGGACGAAAAAATGCAAGACTGCAAGCTATGACCATGACCTAACGCTAAAATGCTACTGGCAGAAATGTTGTACCAGGGGCCGTAAGGTATGCTTCCCCGAAGGGTTAGGGGACGAAAATCCCTTTAAATTTTCTCTGTCGTCCCAACTGGGATTGTCCTGATAAAGGGCCTACATTTAATATATGTGTGTAGCTTAAAGTAAACATGCATTGAAAATAAAGAAACAGTGTCGTTCAAAACAAAAAATTTAAAGGGACTTTCGTCCCCGCAACCATTCGGGGAAGCATACCTTACGGCCCCAGAATCGCTTTACCTTTCAGGAATACCTAGTCGTTTCACGGTGTGATAAAGAGCCAAAACATTGGAAACGTGGCGGTAGTTGAACCAGAAGCGAGAAGTACATACAAGAACCTTAACATTCAAAGTATTTTCAACTGCCACAGCACCACAGAGGGGGTACTCACAGCCCAGTTATTGGTGTGTCCGGGAGTGTCGAAGAATTCCTCTATCCGTAGTTGGACTCCAGTATTCAGGATAGCGAATACACTGTGGGACAGAAGCCAAAGCGTCGCGATGAAAAGCATCCCTACTTGATTCTAGATTAAATTTAAACAAAAGCGTAGTTTCTCAATGCACAGCACTAGACTTGGTATTCACCGATTAGTCATATACACAAAACATCTTCTAAACATTTCATTCCAGCTTTTCAACCTTAACAATAACTAAAAAAGAACCCAAATGTAATACGGAAACGAGATCCGATAACACAAAATTACTTGTAGACAACGAAGGTATGAACAAACGAGGCAATTAATAACTTCGTATACAGTGAGCCAGCAGCATGAATCATAGTGATGTTATCACCCTTGAGCAATATGCGGACCGAGTTTATTGCGACTTTGGGTCTTCATGTTGAGTTCCTCAGCTTCATCCAAAACAACGTTCATGTACTCGTCGAATCCTGAAGAAAAGGATGGGTAAGAAGGTACTGGAAGATCCCTATTCTTTTTCTTCTGCATTTATCCCGCTTGCTGACGAGGACCGGTTTCTGGTAAATTGACGCCACTTTAACCCATTTGAATGCCTGATCGGGGTTGATGACAACAAACTTCAAGCCCACACTGCAACGAGCCAGCGCTGCTTTGAGCGTCCCTAAGGGTCCAATCGATTTGGCACTTCAGCTTTGAAGCTCGAGAGTGGAAACAGAAACGTATTGGTCGTGCGATGGGCTAATGGATATTTGCGATCGCAATAGAGCGGAAAGCGTACCTGTTTCGAAACTGAAAAACGCGAGCCAAACTTGCGAAATATGGTTTCACACGTCTATGTCGAGGCCGATCTTACGTATACTGTCATCATTTCGACAAGAACGTGGCCATATCATCGAAGACGAGCTTCGCACATTTTATCAGCAATGATTACGTCAAAAATCCCGCTAACACTTCAAATACGATCCGGAAGTTCACAATATCCGTTTTGGGCCTATTCCAGTTAGGGGGACATTGCGGTGCACAGTCGCTCAATGCCACTTTGGATCAAGGAGTCTTTTGAAGTTAAAATTGCGGCTTCCCCCACTTACTTCACGATTTGGCGCGCGACGGCGGCGAGCGCCCCTGAAGGAAGCAAAGGTTGCTCTCGAACTCGGGTGTTTTTGTACCCTCCTGAGGCTTAGTCCTAGACCGTTACACTAGGAGATTATGCTCCGTGGTTCTGCACGTTGAGCGCCCTAAATTGCATGCTCCCTCTAACTGGATTGGACCCCCTCTTTTAATCAAGTAACCCGTTAGGAATACATCACAACTTTCATCAAGTAGTAGTATAATAGGTTTTTCGAAGAACAGCCAGAATAAAAAAAACCTGATCACTCCCTACTGTCTACCGCACAATAAAATAATAAATGACCGGGTCAGCATTGACAAGAAAGCGTACCAACGATGTAGCCCTCGATGCGATGAGAAATATCCTCGTACAACCAAATTTGGATTCTTGTTCGATTTTGGAGGTATCTGCAACAACGGGTTTCAGCATAGAACATTTTTAACATAATGAATTTACAGCAACTTCTGTTAAACCAAGATATTAATCCGCTCACCGGAAAATAAGATTGATAGGTTGAACCATAACCTTCTGGACTTTCCTACCGGACATCATCTTGCCTGAAAAATTTCTGTAAGCTAGGATAGTCAATATAAACTATTACGAGTTGTGATACCACAAATTTAGCGAAGACAGACGCCTGAAACACGAAGAAATTCGAATTGATGATCGACGCACAACTACGTACTACCAAACTGCACACACGATAATCCACAGTAGGAATTTAATTTCAAATGTTGATTTCATACTGTTTTTAGGTTTACATATTATCCTAATGTGTTGTTTAAAAGAGAAGACACCATCTATGGAGTTATGGGCACTCTGTGGAAAAGATGGAGAACCAAAACTTCAAGGACCTTTTCTCTTTTTGAGCTGCTGGGTGCTTCCTATTGCCATTTGTATAATTTTCATTTGCTAAATACTGGAATCACGTTCCAGATCAAATTCCATCCGACTGTCGAGGCGCCTTAGCGGCCTTAGCAAAACGACCCTGAGCTTGTTCTCTGCAAAGGCGAGGACAGGCCACCCGCCGACACTTGCCCACCCACCCGTGGGGATTCCACGCGTGGAGCCACCCAGCCCGCCGATCGATAGACTCCCCGATCCAGCCACCGTCAACGGCTCTCATTCAAAATGAGCTCTCAATTCCTTCGTGCTCTGCTTCACCTCTTCGTCTTCTTGTAAAGATTCCATATATTGCTATTATACTAAAACAAGAGGGCTTTTCTCGGTCTCAAAATGCATCTGGCATCGTCTTCAAATTTCTTGAATTCTGTCTCTTCATTTTTTATGGAAAAGAAAACAAAAACACCGCTTGTTTCCAATTTCATGCATAAGCGGTTTAATCACTGAGCTACCCATAAAACTACCGCGCTGGCTAGTTTCATCCCCGAAAAACCAGTTTTCGTTCTTATTTGCACTTGGAAATTGTTGGTTTTTATCAATGTTTGCTATGGAAGGTCATCCACCAGATGTAATTAGACGCTACGGTACGGCTACTTCGCTTTCTCTGCACAATACTACTGGACTTTGCCTCTCAAAGTTAGTCATGTTCGAGACCCAGATTTCTTCAAGGGTAAGCTGAAGAGAGGGCCGCCTCATTAGCCAACTATCTTCCCAAATGGGGAGGCATCCTTCCGTTTGAAAAAGTCGGGGTACGCCAATGTTGATGGTGAGTCACAACGACTAGTGGCAGCATTGATAAGAGCTGAAAGCAAGCAGTATCAAATGACTGCCACCAAGTGTCTCGCGCTATTCGCGTTAGGGCGCATTCATAGTCGGTCGTTCCGATCGTAACAATCATAACAATCGCTCAGCGTTAGATACGTATCGATCGTCCATCTGCGGACACGTCTGACGATCGATACGCATCCAATGCTGTGCGATCGTTACGATCGGACGACCGACTATGAATGCGCCCTTAGGCGACGTATTGCCGTGTATGGTAGTGATACAAGCAGAAAGACAAAACATTCGGTGTCGATCAATCCCTATTTGGGATGCGCCATGTATCCACTTCCATGCACAATCGTAATGGCATTTTGATTGCGTGCATGGTCGGGGAATTGGTGCCAGATTTATCTGGGAGGATAAAAATCAGGTCACTTGCCACTACACGGCCTGCGCCCAGCGGGGGGGGGGGGAGTGGTAGTAGCTGATATGACGGAAAGGAGAACAAGCAGAATGAGGACGCGGCAAGTTACCCTCTATTTCAAAAAACGAGAAGAGCGTCGAGTGCAGACCACACACCACAAGTGACGACGGCCAAGAAAAAGAAAAGAAAAAGCCACTTTTTTCTTGGCCGTCGTCACTTGTGGTGTGTGGTCTGCACTCGACGCTCTTCTCGTTTTCCGAAATAGAGGGTACGTCGTTTAATGCTTAGTAGATCATGTCTAGAATCCTTTTCGTCGGGCCAATTAGACCTTCCGTCCATTCGGAATCCGACAACTGGTGCTGGTAATTGAAGGGACAAAAACACTTATGTCTCTGAGCTAACACTCGTAACTCACTGTTAAGATCGAATACGCTCATGTCCCTGCGCTTCTGGATAGAGGTGGAATGCATGGCGCATACCAAGAAGGTACTGCTCAGATGCTCAGCCTGTAGGGTGGTGCAGAAGGATAAAAGGGATAACAAATCGTCTAGTCCTTACACTTTCCAGAGCGTTCCCATCAAAAATATAGGTCACCTGTAATAGGAACGTCGAAGGTGGTAATAGAAAGTGCTCTCGAGTAACAAGGGTTGATAAGTAATGATGTTAGGCGAATTTTTTTATTTACACACTTAATAAAAAAACTTGAGCTGTAGTGCATAGAAGTGGTGTGGATGGCGCCTTAGGAATCTTGGCAGTGAGAGACAAAAAAAAACGTTATTGACTGGTGCAAGTGAAACTTACTGAAGGTGCGAAAATAGCAGTAGAGCGCTCGATTAGGCATAAAAAGACCAAGCTCGATAGCTCCTTAGGGTGTTGAAAGCCTTTTAAAGGCACGGTCGGAATAGGCAAGCTCACCTGTTCCATCCCCGAGCGTAGGACAGGTGGACAAGCGTTGATGTCGCGCCCCTTTTGCGGCTTGAAAGTGCGCGACAAAGGCGCTGGAAGCTCGCTCGACCGCAATCCACACCTTCGTCGCAAGCTCCGCCTTCCGCTGCCACGTGAGGCCGATGTTACCGCAAAGTATAACAGCGGCCTGACGCTGCGAGAAAAGCACGGGCGCAGTTGCGGCAGCGGTTGCACTGCCGTTCAAATTCAGTGGTACTTGAGGAACTGGGGTTAGGTTCGCAAACTCGTCCAACACGCCCCTTCCCTATCCTAAGGTGGAACGCGGCTGGAAGAGAGGAG